TATATTTCTCCATCCTAATGGTAATAAGCTTTTCAGAAACAACTTAGCTGTGAACACTTGGATTTTAAACTATCCGTCTCTCTTCCCCCTCCTCCTCTGGTCACAGATTGTTTCAGTTTCAAACTTGAATAGTTGCTGACAATCACTCAACTAACCCTGAAGTCTCCAATCACCTCAAATAACACTGATAACAAATGGGATGCAAAGGGAACAAATTCAGTAAAAGTTTCTGTATGTCACTTGAGATCTTATAATTGGATCTAATTAGATGTAGTTAGATCTAGGGTAAAAAGTAAATTTTTATCTTAATATAAATTTACTTTTCATAAATTTTATAAATTTACGTTTTTTTTCTCGAGAAGAAAAGCACAGAGGGTGGGAGACACTACAGACTCCTGATGTCCAGTCTGGCAGTTAGGTATGTTTTCCTTCAAACTGGTTGTCAGGTCAGAATGCATGATGACCTTATAGGATTCTGACCTCTCTGATTGGAAGGTTCAAATCCAGTAGGGGTTGGCAGACCAGTGGGCAACAGCTGGTTCTCAAAACTGTTCTCCCCACTGGAGACTCCTGATTATAAAAAGACAGTGGCTTGTGTTTGACAGAATTACATAAACTGACTGTGGAAGATCTGAGTCTGTTTTTTGTGGAGAAAAAGCAGGCCTTTGAGAGAAGGCATGGCCACTGGGGAGCCGTCTTCCCAGTCTAAGGGCCACAGTCCACAGCCTATCTCTCCAGGATATGCCCTGGAGGTAGTGATAGTGGATGATGAGATCCCAGGACAATCAGGTGAGGGGACTGGAGATAAAAGAGGTCTGTGATGGTAGCCAGTAAGGAGGAAGGACTACAAATGATGCAAGAAGGCAAAGATTGGAGATAGGAAAGTCAGGAGGTGGGACAAGGATGGTTAATGGATAGAAAACCTAGCAAGCTAGAGATGAGATCCAACAATGGATAGGAGAAAGGGTGACTAAAGCACAGTTCGCTCCTACCAGGAGCAAAGGGTCTATAAGAACAGACTTTTGGGCATTCTGTGCAGGGGCCAGTGGGAAGGACAATTGGGTTAAGATGGAGATCAGCAAATCTTAAGGATGGAACAATGGCTTTAAGGGGAAAGCAGAGGAAGAAAATGGTGGTTTTTAGGGAAGGATGGAGATGGGTTGAGATAGTTAAAGGTGGAATTCGAAAAGCAGAAGTGGCCCATTAGAACTGGAATTCTTTCCTCAGGCCAGTGGGAAGTACCCAGTCTTCTACCTTGGGGCTGTGTTCAGAAGAGGAAGAGAGACTGGTCCTCAGTGTCTGAAGACAAGGTGCAGGAGGACCCACTTGAGGTCAGCGATGGAGTCGCTGGAGTAGCAGCACCCAATATCATGCATCAGAGGCCTGACTGGAAGAAGCAGAGGGACTCTTCTTGTTCAGAGTTGGAAGCAGAGGCAGAACAGAAGTAATATCAAGGGGGTTCTGATTCAGCTTGAGTGGGGAAACCAGCCTCACACTTCACCATATTCCAGAGCAAGTGGCCAGTGTACAATGAGGATGAGAAGGGGAGAGGGCCCTGCTACTTTAACTTAGGCCCCTGCTTTACCTTTATCCCCAGGGAAGACATCAGGCTGCTCCCTCGCAAGAGGTGGAGAGAATACCTGTCCCTGTTCATTGATGAGCCACAGGAGCCATCACAACAATTAAGCCCTGCACCCTCTACACACATGGGTGTCACAGAGAAGCTTTGTGGCCTCAAGAAGAAAAGGAAGATGAAGCACCTGTCCTCAGTGCTCCCTGAGCACCACGCAGCCTTCACTAGACTGTTGGGTAAGAAGACTTTACACAACACCTCCACACTGGTTATTTAGGAACACAGGAGACAACTAGCACATCCCTCACACATGGAAGGGAGCTCACTGTGAACATGAGCTCTCAGTTCCTAAGGGTCTCCAATGACAACCATCCCCAGTCACATAGAAGACAGTTATGACACACTCATTGAATTAGGTCCTCGTGTGAGAGCATAAAGCTTAGCTCCAACGTGGCTCTCTGACATAGAGTGATCACTGAAATTCCTAAATAGAAACAGTTATAGCACCTGAAGGCCAACTCGGTCAGCATCACCACTGGATGTGAACATCACAAATGAGAGGACCTACATGAATTCTGACCTCTGAGGTGGTGCATTTCTGTGCCATGAGAGGCCACCACAGTCTGCTCTATTGTTTTAATCTGACTAATATGTGTTAGTAGCCAGCATTCACGGTCACTTTTCCAGTCACCTCCAAGGTGAGATTTCTTCTACCCATTCCCATTAGCCTGATAATTTCCAGCATATCTACCAAGAAGAAGTGGTTTTGCTCCATGTTCTTTTGTTCCAAGTGAAAACCTTGCAGGTCCCATCCTAACACTACCCTCTCTTCCCAGAGGATCCTGTTGTCAAAAGATTCCTGGCTTGGGACATGAACCTGAGAGCATCTGATAAGGTCAGGTCCTTATATCCTAGGAAGAGCTGTTGCTCTGCCAAAGCATGGAGAGGGCAGAGCTCCAAGCCTGCAGTCCTCTTTCCATCCCTCCTTGGAGCACCTTCCTCACCCTCTCAACCTCAAGGTCCCTTTAGGTCTCAACATTGTCTCCCTTCTGGGCCTGGCTGGTGTTTGTGGCCTGGGTGAGTACACCATCCTCTGCCTGGATCTTCTGGGATCTGAGCCCAGGACAGGAACTTCCCTCAGTGTGAGTTCTCTGCCTGGTGCTTTCTGAAGCTCCTGGTCCCTTCTTCAGCTCTGGTGAACCAAATTGCTCTAACTGAATGGACACCAATCACAACCAAATGACCTCAATATCCTGTCTGAAAGGGACCTATGTTAGTGCCATTCTGGGAACCATGGCCTCCATTCTCTTGAATGTTCCTAGTTGCAAAAAACCTCCAACAACCAATCCAACTTTGCCTCAGTAACAAGGCCACCTGACACTGGGGTCCCTCTCTGAGGTTAGGCCCTACCAGTCCCTGCCCCCTCCCCGTGCCTCCTCTTCCAGGGTGCCTGTCCTTGACTGTCATCTTCTCTCCTCATCAGTACCTCCTGGACATTGTCATCACCTACTTTAGCCGTGCTGGCCTCTTTCCTTGGCAGTACCAGAGGGTTCACTTTTTCTTGTCACTGTGAGTACTGTGTCTCCCCTAGGATTCTTGATAGTTTCCTCCTTGGATGGGGTGGGAAGACTATCCTATCCTCTAGTTTGCAACCACTTTATACTGCTCACTGTGTGGAAAATTAACTTCACACTACAGTGTGGCAAGAGTTCTCTTAAAAGAAATTTCAGTCTACCATCCTGTCAGTAAAGGAATGGAACCAGGAGAAACAGCCCCTAAGAGAGAATAGGCTAAAGGAATCAACTTGTGAGCCTCAGCCCACACACCCAAGAGGCAGCCATTTCAAACCCTTCTGAGTGTCTCCTTCCTTAGCAATACCAAATGTCTTTTTCTGTTCCTCTCCTCTGGGTTTCCAAGACTGATATCCCAAGCATGTCCTCCTTTCAGGCCAGAGACTGAGTGCAACATGTTTCCTGCTGGCCTTCCTGAGAAGCCCTTCCACAAGCCATGGAGCAGGCTCTATGTCTGCTGCCTGATAATGTTTTTAAAAGATAGGCCAACAGCTCACTTGACTCATGCCTATTGCATTGCTAATACAGGTCGCCCACTGAATTCACCCAATCTACTATCTCTTTGTCGCTGAACCAGCTTATCATCATCATATTGCTTTCTTTTCCTTCGTTGCTTTTTTTTTTTTCCAAACACAAGTATCTCTCTATCTTATTTTTTTATCCATGTCTTTGAACACTAAACCTAAATAAAACTCTGGATTTTCAAGTTGTTTAAAACATCCAAACTTTGACTGCCATGGTGGTGCACACTTGTATTCTCAGCCATTCTTGAAGCTGTAGGGCATGAAGTGTTTGAATCCAGGGGTTTGAGACCAATTGTTCAAGGTCAAAGGCAACTCAAAGAAACACTGTTTCAAGTAAAGAAACCTGGGCATGTTTTTCTTTTCTTTCCCCCTTCAGTTTATTGGTACATTTAAGGCAAACAATGCAGTTACATTCGTCATTGGGATCTTGTACCTTTACAATACAGGTCTTGCTTTTTATTTTTCCCCATTCTCCTACCCTTCCTCCTTCACCCTCTTCACTTTTCCCTATTTATAAAACCTTTGTTTCCATTGTTTCCTTTTTCATATTGTGTACTTCTGTAGTCAGTGTTCACCAGGAGACTGAGTTAGGAGAGTGGCAAGGTTGAGCCAAGCAAGTCAACCTAGTAAGATAGCAGGACACTGTTTGCAAAAGACAAATAAAACTGACTGGCAATGTAGATTAAGTCCTTGATCAGTCTCAAGTTCAGTCCTAGTACTGGAAGAGAAACAATACTCCCAAATTGACTGCATTTTCCCCTGATCTCCAACCTTCTGGATTCCAACAGTAGTTTAATCAAGGATATTTTAAACTCCTAATTCCTCACCTTCTCCTCTCTACTTAATTTTCTGTGGAGAGGACAACTGGTGAGGCCTGGTTCTTGTGAAAGGATCCATGCATTCTTAAGAGTCCCCCTCAATCCTCAGCAATCTGCAGGTATTTCTCTTTCACTGCATTGAGTCTACCAGGTACTCTGTATAGCTTCTGCCTACAGATAAAGATGCTGCTCATGCCTTCATTCATTGGTTCAGCCAAACCTTCTGTGGTTCATGCCCTGATAGGGATTATGAACCAATGGGAATAAGCATGTAGGAAATGTTTGTGGAATTCATGCCTACTCTGAGCTGAGCCCTGTATTAGTCATTCAAAAGGAGAGCAATGGACACAGAAAATTTTCAAGAACACCCTCCAATAAGTTTTCCTCATTGGCCAGGAGACCTGTGTGGGCAAAGAGTACCTGCTTCAAGGAAGGGAGATGGTGGTGTCCACTTCATTTGTTGACAGGGGTAGGAGTTCAACTCAGGCACTGAAGAGAGCCTCTTTCTTCATCTCCCAGGTTGGAGCCACCTTTATGTGGGCCCTATGCACCCTTGGATTCTTCACAGATACCTGGTCCTCAAGAGCACTGTGTAGAGCCTATGGGATCTTGAGCTGGAAAGGGACCTGTCAGTCCTATTTCAGAGCCCACCTGGGGAACAGATGCTTCCTGATTGTGATGCTGATGAGCAACCTGCTTTCTTTTCCAGTTACCTGGCCAATGACATGGAGGAAGACAGTAAGCTACAAAAACTGGACATGTTGTTCTTCCTGTATGGGAGGAACTTGGCCCAGATTCCCAAATTCCAAAAGCTGCACTATGAATTCATCTGCTGCATGGGCTGGAACCTGAGGGTGACTCAAGAAGAGTGTGAAGAGGTGGGTGGGGCCTTGGAAATGGCTGGGAAAGTTGGGCAGGATTAGAGACAGATGCAAGCAGAGTGGTGGGATTGGTTATCAGAAAGAAATGCAGGATGGACAAGTGGGTGGTTTTACTGGAGGTCCTCAGCCCCTCGGGGGCTGCATTCTTTTCCAGATCCAAGCTTACAATCCTGGGCTCTGGGTATGGAGGAGAGATCTCAAAGTCATTCAGGGAAACCTGGAGCTCTGAGGACATTGGTGGCAGAAAGGTAAGTTGTGTCTCCAGGATTCAGACAGCACCACTGCCTTCTATCTCAAAAATGCGGGGAACCCACGCATGGTCCTCCTCTCCTAATTCCTACCTCCCTATCCTTTGTCTAAATACCAGGAACCAGCCCAGCCTCAGGCACATGTTTGCCTTCCCTTCTTTCCTCCACAGCCACCTAGGTGCCAGGTACACAGAAGTGACTGCACAGAGATAGCCCAAGTGCTAAGACACTGTTCTGTCAGACCTTGCAAAACTAGACTGTCCCTGATTTGGTAGAAATCTTTCCACTCAGAGAAAATGTGTTGAAACCTCATTGTGGATGAAAAATTCATTTTCACTCCAAGTGAATATCTACTAGCCATGACTTTTCACTGCTCTGCAGTAGTCGGATTTTTACCTTTTGTTGTTTACATAGAGTATTTTATAGTTTAGGGGTCATGAAGAGAGGAACTCTTTTCTGGCAATCTGAATATTACACACAAAAAAAGCTATCGAATGAAGTGGTTCCATTTTTAGAATGGTAAGAAAATTATCCCAAACCACATGTACACCCCAAGTTGTTTGCAGACACATTGCATATGGTTGAGTGTAGCTGAGTGCTTTTCCTGTCTTGTCTTTTGGCTCTTTCATGAAATTCTCCTCTGCAATAATTGCACATTTTCTGTTCAAGTGTAAATTCATGGCTATTTTTTAGAATGATAGAAAATACATAATAGTTTGGTGGTTGCATAGTAAAATATACATATTACAGTAAGGATTTGGGGAGAGGAATAAATGAGGACTTATTTTACATCATGTACAACCAGCCAAATTTAGCAGCAAGAATTTTGGTGAGGCTTTGGTCCTTGGGATTCAACATTAGGCATGTGGGCTGATGGTTACCATGTGGATATATTAGTGATGTTCCTATTAAAGATGGAAGTCCAGATGCTAACTGTGTGTAAAGGACTAAGGTGAGAGGTAAGTGGAAATGTGTCACATCCTCTAAGCATGCGCGCATCTCTGAGAAGAATCAGCTCAAACTCTCACTATAGAGCAGAAAAAGGTGGGTCTAACCTTAGGCATCTCTAGTGATTTGCAGAATGTGGCTCAAAAAGTCTGAGGACCACAACCAGAAATGATCATTCAGGACCAGGGTTGAAAAGGATGCAAAAGACAAAAGCTGGACTTAAGTCAACTGAAACTATAGTTGGGGTGGACATTTTTGTCATTCATTAATTATATTGGTAGCTTTTAGGTATACAGTACCATGACATTCATCATTAGGAATTTGAGTATGATATATCTTGTTTTTGTATTTGTCTATGATATACCTTGTTTGAGCACAAAACACCTCCTCTAGGAAATTTCCCCAGGAAATCTGACAGTGTCTCTCTTCCTTTCAGATTTCTGGGCCTACGGGGGCAATGAAACAGAATCACCACAGGATATTCTCTGGAGCTGGAAAACCCGTGGGGGGGCAGGAACCAGTTTTTCCCTGTTACCTTCTAAATTTTACCTTTTTCTGTTACCTTCTAAATTCAAGTTTCTGCTTAATTCCAAGACAAGACATCTGTTAATTTTATATACTTTCTACCTCATTTATTTGACAGTATTTCAGAGTTACCTGTAGAGTGTCAGATTGGAAGAAACTACTTAAAATAGAATATTGGAACCATACTGTTGTCATAGATTCCTTTAATATATAGTAAACTATTTATTGCCAATCTCTTATTGTCAATTTATTCTATTGAATAAATATCTATAACATTGTTCTTATAATAATTTGTGTTAGGAATTTTAAGCAATATAGGAAAACAGTCTGTTTAAGAGAAGTTTTGATCTTCCATAGTTATAAATGCATTATCCTTATAGACAGGCCAAAGTACCCCAAACACTTGCAAATAAAAATCATGCTGTCCTTCCTTATTATTTGTGCACATTGAGCTGTCATTGTTCAACTCAGTTTCACTCGCATATCTGACATGCAAAATACATCACGTGAATGGCAAAGAAACTTGTGTTTTAAAGAGGACAGGGCCATGCATGCCTACTGCATAGATCATAAACAGGAACTGTCTTCTCACTTTCTCAATGTGTGTGATCCTGTCAGTCTGAGTTGCTTTTAATTAACCAAATTTCTTAAATGTGAAGAGGAATACTGAGTTTCTTTTCATGTATGCAAAGAGAAGACAGAAAGAAAAGCCTAGCATACCACAAACAATGGCAGATAGTATACTACAGATTGAAAGAAGGAAATGATGGGTAGAGATTGAAGCAGGAAAGCCAAGAAGAATGAAGACCTAGGTGTGAAGGCACAAGCCTGTACTATCGGCACATGGGAGGCTGAGGCAAGTGTATTGCTGTGAGTTTGAGGAAAAAAAATGAAGAAAGGAATCAAATTCTGTGGGTGCCTGGATGATTGCCCTAAATCTTAAGTAAAAGGAAAGCATCTGAATGAAGGACACTGCCTGGCAGTATCCACATAGTGGCACACAGGCACGGAAGTCATCACTGTGGGATTTTAGTTATAAGGGATTCTTTTTCACATCTTATGCCAGCTTGACATACTAGAAAAGAAATCAAGAAAATTAGGAACAACTGTGGAAGTGAGCATACTGAACCTATTTTTGAGTAAGATGCAATGATCAGAAGAGACAAAGCTGTCGGAGGGGGGTGGAGATGAAAGAGCTAAGAGCATGGATGCTGAATGGTTGTAGAGAAGCATCTTGGGAAATGGAAGCAGCAGAGAACAGACCAGCAGCTGGGGAGCAGAATGGCTTGAACAACTTAGGAGCCAGAAGAAAGTAAGTCCAAAGACTGGCAGACAGATGAGATGGGAAGGGGGGTGGGTATGAAAGAAGTGGAATTGATTCTAGGAAAGGCTGAAGCATGGAATAAACAAAGTCTGATGGCTGAGTTGGAAGAGGAGGGAGGTGGGATGAGCAGGACAGGTGGAGACAGGAATATTCCAATGAAGACAGAAGCTATTAAAGACAGGCTCGGCCATCAGAGTGGGCAGAACTACATACCTGTAATCCAAGCACTCTGGGAGGTTGAGGTAAAAAGATCACCAGTTCAAGCCCAGCCTGTACTATCGAGTGCCACCATGAGACTCTACCTTAAAATATTAATCAAAAAATGGTTGGAAAGGTAGGTTGGCATGAAAAATGAATGGAGCTTGGGTTCAATTCACTAATGGCAAAATGAATAAAAATTTTAAAGTTATATTGTAGAGTAATTCTGACGTCTACCACCTGCCTTCAGAGAAGTCTTATGTTTAGCTGAGGGGCCTTGACGGCCTGGTCCTTGGTACAACCCAGCAGAATGGCTCAGGAAGTCCAAACTGAGCCATCCAACCAAAAGTTGGATTTTCAGTTTTGCAGGTGGTTCCTGGCACAACACTAGATATGTGTTTCCCAAAGCTTTGTGCCCCTACATTCAAAATTCAATCCCTCCACCAGTAGTAAAAAATTATATTTTCATCAGTCACTCTGGGAACCCTGCAATCAGATTCTCCTTATGTTAGGGAAAGTCTTTAAGAGACTGTCTAGAAACTCACTGCTTCAAATCCTGCAGTCTGATCAGCAGGTTGGGTGGTTTCTAAATTTTGTTTATGGTACATAGGCTGTGATGAATCATCTGTGCACCAGTCCTTCCATCCTTACCAGTTGTCAGCTTTTTGGGTCTGGGATAAGAGTGGAGTGGCTGCTTCATGAGGTCACATTGGGGAGAACACTTTCAGGGGCCACCAAAGAGATTTTCTCCAGCCTGTGCCCTATTCAACATTCACAGTGGCAGTTTTAAGGAAGTGAGAATCTATACACCTAGATAACATTGGTTATTTCCCATCTCTAAAAGTAAATACTCTTGCAGAAGGAGCCCAGTGGATTCACTCCATCACACTCCTAGGATCTGGTAATCTAGAGAGAGAATGAGAAACTGGGAACTCCTGACTTCAGTCATCCTCAGGCACCTTGAACTTTAAACATGTGCACTGCAAATCATAGTTGGAGGACCTGTTCATTTTTTAATCACTTGATTTCTGCAGACTATTTCCTAGTGACCTGTACAGTCTAAGAATGGGAATGAATCACTTTCAAAATGTAACATTAGAGCCATAGGATTGTCAAGATTTCTTTAGAATATGTGTCAATGTCAATTGTTTGTTTGAACATGAAAAACATGGACTTGTTACTGTTCCTTTTAACTAGTTTTAGCTACTGTAGTTTTAAAATCATGTTGTTCCCACAAAATACTGTGTTAGGTTTTTTCAACTATTTCATGTTCATAAACACATTTCCACTTAGGGAGACTTTTATCTTTTCCTCTCTTGTACTGATATATGCTTTATCCTTAGAGGTTAGGTTTTAAAACCCCCAAATTCTGGTATTTGGTAAATGAAAATTCTCACATGCATGTTTGACCTTCATTTTTCTATTGTGAGCATCACGGTGAATTTCTGTCATCTGCTTGGCTCCTGGCTCAGGTGATGCATAGAGGACCTGGGTAGTAAATAAACATGAACATTCCCTGTGCTTGAAGAGGTCAAGATGTGCAGCTCTCTAGGAAGATAAAGATGAACTGTCCTCTCACCCTCCTGATCTGTGAGATAGTGTCACGGTGCACTGCTTGTCTAGAGTTTCCACAATGTTACTGTCATATGACCACAATTTTTTCACTGTAATAAAGTGGAATGAGCCAAGGACCTACACCCTGAGCTAGAATCCAAGCCCTTTTATAAATTTTGTGACGGGATCCTGATAAGTCACTGAGTTTTCCAGACTGGCCTAAATTTGCAATCTTCCTGACTCAGCTTCCTAGAGTACCAGTATTCCAGGCCTATGCACAATATTTGAGTCAAGTTTCGTAAATCTTAAATTTGGTGAAAATGCAGCAACACTCTTATACATCTCAGAAATTTATGATTTAGATGTTGGGGAAACCCACAATTCCAGGATAATAAAGAGATCTAGAAAAAAAATCTCAAGCAGGACTCATGTCGCTGGACAGTAATTTTTGTGGAAAAACCATGCATATTTTCCAGCACAGAAGAACATAATCCCATTTTATGTTGTGACTTTTATTCCATCAGGGAAACACGGTGAAAATCTTTCTTTATAGGAGGCAGCATTTTCTACTGAGAATCTCTTAGAGACCCCATGCCCTTTGTCATTCTATTTACACTCAGTTCTATCCAGTACATGTGTCCCCAACAACAATCTGTTTACAAAGCCTTGGAAAAAGAAATTAAGTTACTGAGGTAGTTTATATTAGCTTTCTCTAACCATAAGCAAATACATAAAATAACTTCAAAAGAGGAAAATCTGTGAGCCTATACCAAGGCAGCAGGTCAGGTTCAGAGCAGGTTGAGGGCCAAATCTCATCCATTCATGGTTGCCAGGAAACTAAAGATAAGAAGAGGCCAGGACATGGGCCCTGCCGATCCTTGAAAGCCACAGACCCAGTGACCTCACCCCTTCGTGCTAGAACCTGTTGAGATCCACCACTACACATTATGGCTGAGCCAGGGGCAAATGCTGTATCATGTAGGATTTTGGTATATGACCAAAGTTCTCCAATTCTTAACTGGAGGTGGCAGCACACACATGCAAATCCATCACTGAGGAGGCTGAAGAAGGACAAATGCCTTAAGTTGGAAGACAGCCTGAGATACACAGTGAGAGTGTCCTTGAACTCAGCCATCATTCTGCCTCAGCCTTCTGAGTTCTGCTTTTACAGGCTGGGGCCACCATACTAGCTCCATTTTTACTTTTTTTGAGGAAAGTTTTAGAACCCTGGGAAAGAGGCCAAAGGTCCCTGGCAGGGAATTCTCCACTCTAAAATCTTAATGCCATGTGTGGTTTAATGGAAAACATGTCAGGGATCAAAATACCAAATAAACTTCAGGAACAACACAAGCAACACATAGCCCTGCTCAACTTTCCAGGTGTGGAACAAAACAAGACTTAGAATCCCAGTAATTGCTCCCTTATGAATAAATGGTTATGAAAATATATGTCATCTATATACACAGTTGACTATAATACATCCCTCAGAAAGGAGGGCACTCGGATATCTTTCACCAACTCAGGACCCTGGGGAGCCTGCACTAATAGGAAAAAGACAGACACTGAGGACACCATGGTCTGAGCCCATGGGACTGCTAGGCACACAAGGAGCCCAGTGCTGACCTTTCATGGGAACAGAAAGGAGGACACTTGTTCCCAGGGTTTGTGAGAGGGGAGTGGGCATAGATGGTTTCATGAGTCATAGTTTCTACTCAGAATGAGAAAAAACATGTACAGATACACAGAGGTCTCACTGCACAAAGGAAACAATGGATGGTGTCGACAACATTTTAATTTTGGCCAGTGATGGACCACAGAGACATAGTGCCTGTGTAAGATGGTATCAGCTCGTGCCTTGCCCGTTGTCAATGTTGGATGAGTTCACTCTATGAGGTTGGCACAATGACAATTTCAAGCAAATCCCCATTACCCAGAACACATCCCCAACATTATTTCCATATGCTTGTTGTGAATACCAAGCAAGTCTACCCTGGAAAACATAAAATATGATGGGCAGAGTGGCCTAGTACTCTAATCACATCCAAAGGATGCTGGCCTTTAATCCTATGAATTTGGAATCTAGAGCCAAG